TAGTGCCCGGTAAGGCCCGACAGCGCCAGGCTGAGCCCAGCACCAGCCAAGTAACCGCGCCCGGGTACCAGCAGGCCCAGCGCGGGACCGAGCCGGTTGGCCCAGGCCAGCGGTCGACCACTCGGCCGTAACAAGCCAGCTGTCTGGCCAGCCACTGAACCGACCGGTCTAGACCGGTCATCTGAGCAATTTCGGACTTAGTGATCTGGTCCGAGTTCAGTCTAAAATTTCAGTTTATTTTCCAGTCAAGTTAGTTCAGTATAATAATATAAGTTCAGTTCACTCATGCCAGTTGAGTTCAGTTGTAAATTCAGTCTATGTTGAGCCCTAGTTCATGTCAGTAAGTCCAGTTATGTCATCAGTTCAGTCGAGCATCTTATCCAGCTATTTTAGTAAGTCTGAGCATAGTACTTAGTATTCGTTTATATATGTCACAATTTGCAGATGATCAACACTTACATTTTCAGACCAGCAGTTCAGGTAGGGACTCAGACTGGGTACTACATTGATTATAACTACTCTACCATGTTTGAGGTATGTATCATGCTATGTATACTCTTAGAATGGTAGCCGGTCCAGGTGCGTAAACCCATTCTAGGTTCTAGTGGCTTTATCTGCCCACTAGAGTGTGCACATGGTGTTCAGCACGTTTGTGTTGGCAGATATTGTAGCTATGCTACAACTATGCTATGCCATGCCATGCCATGTTTTTATATTGTACCGGTACCACGTTTATACATGCTATTGATCATGATATTGTTATTATATTTACTGTTTACTTTAGTATAAGTTCCTGCGGAGCATAGTGGCTTTTAGTGCTCACACCCCACGATGTTTATGTTTTTCAGGTTACAGAGTCGGGCTAGAGGAGTGAGTTGGTTGGTGGATTGTGGTCACGGATATGGCTACCAGCCATTGTACATTATTGAACAGTTATGTTATACCATGTTTAGCTTCCGCTGTCACTTTACGATGTTTCAACTAGCATGTCAATTTTTATATTTGATCTGATTTATCGGACAGACTTTTAAGCAGTATTACATGCTAGTTTGATTTTAAAATAATCTGTTTTTCTTAATAAGTTTAACGTAGAAAAGATAACGGATTTTCATAAAAGAAAGATTTCTCAGTAGCATCTCGAATCATGATTTCGCAAATCAGTAAGTTTTTTTCAGAAAAGATTTGCGAAAATTTAACTCTAATTTTAATAAGTTAGCGGGGTGTTACATCAATGGTGGGTTTTCCACCTCTGGCAACTCATTTGATCCACCGTTAGTTCCTATTAAGTGGTTATATGCCCTCGGATATGTTTCCTTTTTGTATGCCTGATCCACATAATTCTCTGGGTTATGACCCAAGTAGTACATTCATGATATATAACATGTGCACAAGGAATTCCACCGAGCTCCCACATTCTGCAGGAACAAGTTTATTCCCCAATGTACACCCTAAACTTTGAACCTGAGCTGTCCTCAACCTCAAACTGATCTTCCTCATTCCAATAGCAAACAAATTCCATGCTCTTCTTTTTGAAATCTTCAAGCATTTTATCAATTCTTGGACACAACTGTCCATGGTGCTTTCTCATTTGATCCCTCTTTGAATGAATTCTCTTCATTAGAGTCAGTCTTATCATATCCAACATCTTGACTATTGGCTGAGCTCTAGCCCTAACAATAAGAGCATTAAAACTTTTAGAGAGATTATTGAGCAGCACATCACATTTTGAATGTATGCTGAAATAAAACCTAAACCAATTTGCAGGTGGTCTAGCATTTAATCAGTCAAATGCAACTACATCTCTCTGCTTCAGCTCAACCATAGCCTTTTCAAAACCTTGAACTCTTGTGGCTCTTGCATCTTTCCACAACAAGATCTTAAGAGCCAAACCATTATGTGAGACTTTAAAGTTATCATAGAGGTGTTGAACACAAAACCTATGCTCAGCGCATGGTAAGAGAGTGTCAATGGACTGTACCCTTTTGCTTGTCTGACATAAATGTCATGTGATATGGGTTGGTTATTTTCAAATCCCCAATCAACAACTCTAAAAACCAGCTCTAAGATTTTTTTTTTCTACTTTTCAACCACTGCATATGCCACTAGATACTTGCCATTGTTTGCATCTATGCCCACAGCAGTCAACAAGACTCCCCAAATTGAAGTCTTTAAGTGACATCTATCTAGAAACAATACTGGCATACACCCATCTAACAATCCATCCCTAAAGCCCCCCTTCTCCCCAGAAAATGTATAACCTTTTAAAAGAGGTTTGTTACCCGAGCAATTTACATTTGATTTTAATTTTTACTGCTTAGATTTTTCTTTCTTATTTCAGTAGCATAAGACCACAACAAACCAAGTTTTTCATGATGGCCATTAGACCCACACGATAATACATTTTTCTTGGCCCTATAGAGTTGGTTATTGTTGAAAAGAAACTTGTTTTCACCTTGCATGATTTTTATCATAGAATGAACAAGCCAAGTAGGGTTAGACCCTATTTTTTTTCCTATGAGTTTCAGCTAACCATCAAGAGTTGCAATGAGATACTCTTTGACCCCTAGGGAACTTGTGCGTAGGTTTATACTTTCTAACCTGAACACTGTCCTCGCTTGACAAAACTGCAGCATAAATGAGCCATGGACAAGTAGTGTGCTTACATTTTACGTGGACCTTGGTTTTCTCATTAATACTAAAAGTGACATCTCTGTCATTCTTTATTGCACTCTGCCTCACTGCTTTCCTAAACTGAGCCATATCAGGAAAAACATTCATATTTCAAATTCAGGGTCATTCATATATGTCCTCCCATTGGAAACTACATGACCCTTGTGACCTTTACTACATTCTTTCCTAATTGTTGAATTTCATGACTGACTGTGAGATGTCTCTATCTCCAATCCCCCAAACTCCACACCAACAACAATGTTATCATTAAAAAAATGATCATCATTCTCTACATCAGATGTTTCACCTTCAATATCTATCAAAATCTCAGATAACTCAAAATCTGTCCCCATAGATTGCTCTCATCAGAATTACTATTCAAACTATTATCAAGTTCAGTCCTACCCACAGCAGATGAGTTTTCATTCATCAAATATTGGTCATTATGACATACAAAGTCCAAACCTTCAGAAACTGCAGGAAGTTCGATTTCATGATCCACATACAAAGAAACTATTCTGTCTAGGATTTTAATTTTTCTATGGATTTAAATGAAAAGTGTCGCTTGAAAAATGTATTTTGGGCAGATAATCGGTGTCGAGAAGCGTATAAGAAATTTGGTGATGTTATCACCTTTGACACCACGTATCTCACGAATAAGTACGTATGCCTTTCGCTCTTTTTGTAGGGGTTAATCACCATGGATAATCAACTTTATTTGGATGTGCTTTAGTGTCGAATGAAGATACAAATACATTTGTTTAGGTGTTTCGGACATAGCTTGAGTGTATGCATGGCCTCGTTCCCAGTGGCATTATTACCATCAAGATTGAGCTATGCAAAATGCCATCCAAATTGTTTTTCCTGGAACTAGGCATAGATGGTACTTGTGGCACATTTTGAAAAAGTTTCCTGAGAAGCTCGGCTATCATAGTGAAAAGAGATTTGCACTTCATGCTATAACTCGGTTATTTTATGATACATTAAGTTGCAATGAATTTGAGGCAGGGTGGTCGAAAATGGTCCAACAATTTGGATTGCAAGATCATGGTTGGTTGACAGGTCTTTATAATGAAAGAAGTCGTTGGGTACCATGTTATTTGAATAACACATTTTGGGCAGGCATGTCAACTATCCAACAAAGTGAAAGCATGAATACTTTCTTTGATAGCTACGTGCATTGAAAAACATGTCTAAAGCTTTTCGTGGAGCAATATGAGTCCGCATTGAGAAGTAAAGTTGAGAAAGAATTTCAAGCTGATTTTAAATCATTTTCGCAAATGATTCCTTGCGCTACAAAGTGTGATATGGAAAGGCAAATCCAAGAGGTATATACACTCACAAAATTTAAGGAGTTCCAACAAGAATTTACTGGAAAGACCTTTATTGTGATATCCAATCTTCGGTAGACTTTTGTGGGACCATAAAGTATACAGGTCATGAAGATATCATATGTGATGAAGGAATAAAGAAAAAATCTTCACAGTTTCTTTTAAAAAAGATATATGTGAGATTGAGTGCAATAGTCGTTTGTTTGAGTTTCGGGGCATTATATGCCGACGTGCAATATTTGTTTTAATTAGGAACAATGTTAGAAAGCTGCCACATAAGTACGTCTAGAGAAGATGGAGGCGAGGTGTCAGCAGACCATATGTGTGGATTGCAACCATGTACGATGGTATGGCTAGTACTGTTGAACAATTAAGATATGAGATATTATGTGCTGCTTTTACTAAGATGGCACACTTGGTAGCTGAGAATGAAGAGCGGTAAATTGGAATGGATTAACTGCCAAACGGATGAACTTGCTAAAGCAAAATATAATAACTTGGGCACACATGGAAATGAATTGGGTAACACTGAAAATATAAGAATTTTAAATCTACAATGTACAAAAAGTAAAGGTGCACCAAAAAAGCTTCGCAAGAAAAGTCCTTTGGAGACTAGTTCTAAGAAATCAAAGAATTGTAAGGTGATGTGTATAGCTTTTCATTAATTTTTATTTCCGTTATGATTTGTTTTTTTATAGATATATTTTTTAATTAAATTGGGTTATGATTTTTTTTTTTATAGATATATTTTTTAATTAAATTGGATCATTACAGGTACTTAAAAAAGCCACAATGTTTGTTGATGCTTTTCAAGCACAACAATTTGGGATGCAATGGAGCAATGAATGGGGAGAAAGAGAGCAATAAATTGGAGTTGATTTGTAGTTTTCTTGGAATAGCTGGTTAGAGAAAGGTGATGTGATGTGGTGTTGCTTTGAAGTTTGCTTGGAATGGCGGGTTAGTTTCATGGTTTGCTGTTGTTGGCTTTTGCTTTGGAACATGGTTGGCAGATGGAGGTGTGCATGGCCGTTTGGCTTTGGTTTGTTTTTTGTCTTGGTTGGTTTTTTTTTTTTTTT